TATATTTTATTAAAATTTTGTGCTTTATCCATAGGGCCTGTTTTGTCCCTATTCTCAAGAATCACTTCGCCAACACAATATCTTACAAAAGTTATTAATGGTAATGTAATTGAAAGAAAGTCATAGAAGTTTTATTCACACATTCTAACAGGCCATGCACAGGAACATAAAACAAGCTATTTTTGTTAGCTGAGACCCAAACTGAACTTGTTGGCTTGTACACAAAATACTATCTTTGGCGGAAAATCAGCCTGTTAGAGGCTGCAAGACACTTGAGACAGGGGCAGAAAAGTTACTTAAACACAAAGTCAAAGGTTGTAGTTTAGATCAAAGCGTTTTCACGTGTTAATGGCCAAGTCAAAACCCATAATAATTAAAAATGCTACTCATGGTATTTTGAATGTTTCAGCTGGAGACACAATATTACTGGCACATATACCAGCAGTCTAAAGGGTCCCTCATGACCTCTTGTGGACAACAGGAGTAAATATCTGCAACAGTGGAGAGTTTCACCTGCAAACTGCAGTGTCACAAGAGTCCCAAATGTCAGCTTTAAATTCCACAATCATAGATGCGTTTACTTAAAACCTTTCTTCATATTAATGCTACAAAACGTTTGGTCTCCTGTGACCTGTAAATAAAAAAAACAGGAACAAAGAAACATGAATAATAAAATGCCAGCTCACAACACTTGAAAGTATTATGAAGTCAGCATGGCGCTTCTCCAAGCAGATAGGGAGATTTCAAATACAAATCTGCCACATCAGCATTAACACAGATCAGAAATAAGATGGAATACGATTACTTTCATGTCCCCGTTTCTGTTTGCAGAGATTATCTAGAGTTGCGTGGCTCATTAGAGTGCAATGTGGTTCCTGCGGATGATTCAACGCCTCTTATGCCAAACAGATACGACTGGTATTCGCTGTCGTTTTCGCCTGTCCACAACTGGTCTTACTCAGGGCTTCAAAGCCAGAAAGGGAGTGAGTAGAATTTGCTGAAAGGGAAAATAAAATCAGTTCCTGTTTCAGGCAGAAAGAGCATTTGTGATATAATAAATTAAACCTCTCCCAGATTAGCAGGACTCACTTTCTGCATCTCTTTCATTTGAAATGCAAATAGCCGAGTATTATATAAAAGCCTGCTGAGAATCCTGTTTCCAGAACATCAGCAGGCACAGTTTTATACGCTGTAAAATGTTCTCACTGAGATGCCCCTTACGGAATGATTGTCGCTCCTTACATTTTGTCACATCTGGCCACATTACAACCATAAAATACATTGTATGTTGTTATAGGATGATAGATCACTATACCACATGATCCAGAAATAGCCTTATAGAGTGGGCAGTGAACCACTGACCAAGAGTCAAAACACACCCTCGGGAGACGTGTGTTTCATTACACCGTCTCCCATCTGCCTGTCAGAGGTGGTTAGACTGAGGAAATGAAAGTAGAGACAAAGAGTTGACAGTGTGGAAGGTAAACAGTGGAGATGGAGATGATGTATTATCTGTGTTCGTAGAAGAAATACAATGACATTTGGAGCGCTGCTGCTGCTGCTTTGGATTGGAGATGTGGATGTGCGATAATAAATATATCCTCAGGCCGTATTTAATTTCCTTTCAAAGGGGAAACTGAGGAGCAACCCGTTATGCTGTTCAGCTTCAGCACCATGACTTATTTGAAGGAAAATGGGGGAAAATAAATAAATAAGTAAATGGCGCATTACTTTAACACTTTAATCATTCAGTAGTTCACTTTTTTTTTCAAAGTGTTGACAGAGGCCGTCACGTCTGCTCCATGTGGAACAGAAACATTATTAAGCTGTCATTTCCTCAAGAATAAACACTGTGATGGTTTCTGGACATTTCAACTTAAACACAATAAGGACACCATTCACGGTTTCACTCAGGACAACATCAACAGCAATTTACAATGAATCAAATGGGCTATGATAATCAATGCTCAAAGAAAAGTGAAACCAAATTAATTATTTCAGGGTTTTTTTTTTTTAATTTGTGACCTAATTACACTAATACCATGATTTGTTTTTTTATTTTTTTTTAAAGTTTAAACTCTTGTCATTTGCTCAGTCCCCTCGCTCTCTGGCATGCCGTCCCCTGACTCAGGTCCATTTGGTGAGCAAAAGGGGATGTAGCGGATCCAGGACTGCTTTTGAAGGCACGTCGTTATCCCAAACGGGAGACTGTAAACCTCTTCTGACGCCAAGTCGTTACTGGAGTCTTCGGGATGTCCTGCGTTCCAGGTGAGAATGCCACGTTCACGCTTGGTCCCTGGATGAGGTGAAAATATACGTTTATGCAGTTGGCTTACAGTTTTATGTTGATGATTTCGGTTCTGGCACTATACGCCAGATAAAAGTTTACGATGTGTGGTGCGAATGAATTCAAGCCATCTTAATCAGAATATTGGAAAAAAAAAAAAAAAAAAAAAAAATATATATATAAATAAATAAATATATATATATATAAATATAAATATATATAT